CCAATAATGTTAAGATTTCTATCTTTCCAATCTTTAGCCAAAGAATTCCACCTTCCCAATGAAGAGAGTAAAAAATGATATTGAAAAACAAAAAGTAATAGCTAGTGATGAAGTATTTATTGCATTGAAATCTATTCTACAAAATAATAAACTAAAAAAATATTTTCTAAATGTGTGAAGCTGATAGAGTTGGGTAGTGTAAAAGTCACTCCCTTGGAAATGAATAGCTGGGAGAAGGTCCTGGATATTTCTATAGATGTGGATGAGTGATTCTCTTCTTTTTCTAAAGTAAATAAAAGAATGCATAGCCTTTCTTTGATTGAAACACACTATAAACTAATTAACAAATGGAATATGGTACCATCCAAAGTATCAAGAATTTCTCCTAGTAATGATGAGAGCTGCTGCAGATATGGAGCTGCGAAAGGAGTCTAGCTACATATATGGTGGCAATGTGATAAAGTAGTACATCTTTGGCACGTGGTTGAATCCAACATAACTAAAATCTGTATAAAAAAATTATGTAAAAAAAATATCAAAATCCTTGTTTACCCTCTTGTATAATAATAATAATAATAATAATAATAATAATAATCTTTCCCTGCCATTTGATCATTGCTTCCAGTGATCAAGTATAGTTCATGGTACTTTATTGTGCTCTAATTAGTTTTTTGTTTTTTTAACCCTCTGCGTTAATTTTTTTTTTTTTAACCCCCTATATTATAAAATATATAAAAAAAATATTGTCTTTATTTTAATTTGGTGATTTAGTTGAGGTGGCTGGTAGTAAGTGAGGAAATAGTGTTAAGTAAGTAAGAGGATAAAAAAGAAAAGTAAAAGAAAAAGTTAACCTATTTGTATGCAAAGAGTGTATCCTCTTTTCAATTTTGAATAAAGTGCAAACACTGAAGTGAAAATACCTTTCTCAGTTTTCAACATCAGCAAATTTCAGGGCTGCTGACAGAGTGCCACAATTGAGAAGCATCAGTTGATCTTGAGAGTAGAAGAAATGGCAGTTCATTAATATTTCAGAATTCTTTCAACTCCCCCCCACCCCTCATCCTCCATAAAAAGGCCCACATAAAAGATAAAGAGCGTGTTATTAGAAGGGCATAAGCAGTGATGCTATCATCATTGGGATACAGCTCAGGCAGGGTTGAAAAGAGCCTCCCACTCTTAGGAGGTGTGAGGAGCATCAGCAGCTGACAAAGACCTCATTGTAAATCAAAATGTTGCTGCTTATGTTCTAATTAGGCTTGTGGCCTAATGTGCTACCTTTTGAACCTTAGGTGCCTGGATCACATTCTTCTTTCGCTCTGCTGCCTTTGACACTTGATCATGTCCTCCTTTTTCAAACTCTTCAATCTCTCATTCTCTGTGACATTGTTCTATTGTAGTTCTCCTTCTATGTCTTGCAACATTCATTCACTCTCTCCTTTTCTAATTCCCCTGTCTCAGCTAGAGTCCCCCAATGCATCCTTCTAGGTCCCCTATTGTTTTCTCTTTTTACTGTCTCTCTCTTTAGAAACTTTTTAATTTAGTACACCAGTGATATCCAAATATATCTCTCCAATCCTGATCTCTCCCCCACTTTCCTAGAACATGTCACAAGTTGCCTTTTTTACCATCTCTGATTGGATATCCTCCCGCTTTCTGAAACTCAATCTCTCTAAAACTGAGCTGTTTTTCCTCTTCATAATACTAATCCTCCTCTTTTCTCAACCTGTGAGTTGATGGTACCAATGTCAGCCCGTCCTTGCATGCTTGTTGCCCTGGTATTATCTTTCATTCTGGCCTCACATCTACTCCTCACATTCAGTTTGTTGCCACATTCTGCCGACTCCATCTTAAAAACATTGCCTTCATTAAAACAAGATGCTGCCAAGGAGATTGTTCATACTCTAGTAATTGATTGTATGGATTACTGTAATACTCTACTAATTGTTCTCCCCAGAAGCCGTACTGCCTTGCTACAGTTTGGAATGAATGCTACTGCCAGACTGTTTTTTTCTCTACTGTCTCTCCTCTTACATCTCACCCATCTATAAGTCCTTACATTCAAAATTCAAAATACAAACTGTGACGGTAGTCACCATCACTGGTGATGGAAGACAGACACTATGTGTGGGTTCCCAGATTCCTCTTGTGTTTTGGCACTCTGTGCCCAGTATTGATATAGGGTATGTTGAATGTATTGATTGTCTGTGCCTTTTCCACTCCTCCTTATTCCTGTCCTATTGTTTCCCCAGCAGGGCATTGTCCCATTGTTCCAGGGTTTAAATCAAATCAAAGATGTACAAATAAAATGGTGCAAGTAATCTTAAAGTGCAAGTAATAACACCCCAAAAAAGTGTCAAACTATTTCACATGCAGCAACCTAAAAAGAATCCTTATGCAAAATTCCCAAAACGGTAAAATAGATAACTATGTGCACACAAAAATCTTAAAAACACAGTGTAAAAATTTGAACAGTGGCACGAAAACCATTAAATTGGTAAAACTAACCCTCCTCAATCTCCAATTTGGTTCTCATCCCTTGCTATTGTCTGGCCCAACCCTTCCATGTATGATAGTGCTCTATTCATCCTTTTGTATGTTAATGAGGCTGGTGGGGACATAAATATGTGTGCTGTGTTCATTAAAAGGAATTATTGTTTTTACTTTCACCAAGTGTCATCTGGTGTTTAGGAAAAGAGCTCTGATTACTGCTCTGCTGATTGAAAGGGTGTCCAAGGCTATAATCCTAGTGGCCAGGTCCAGGGTAGACAAGGCCTTCAAAATCCCAGTCAAGCCTTGACGACTGGGTCTGAAGTGCTCCACGGTCCGTGTGTCAGGATTACTGTTTGATCCAGCACGTAGAACTGTACAGCACGGATGACAAATAAGTAACGTATTACCGGTCCTTAGAATGGCCGGATTTAACGTACAAAGAATAGTCAAAAATACTAGCCGAGGTCAGGGAACACAGAAAGGGACACAGTGATGAGGAAAGCCAGGAGTCAGGATACCAGAATATAGAGAAGTCAATAAACAAAGCCAAAGTCAAAAACCAGGTAGAAAACTATAAACAGGAACGCGCTCTCGGACAACCACAAGGGAAACCACGACAGGGCACTGAGCAGGCTGAGAACTGGGCCTAAATACCCCTCCTTTCTTTCTGATAGGCTGTAACCGGCCTTTGACCCCAAAGTCAGTTACCAGGTTTCATTTGCATAATTGCTGCTCAGCATTAACCCTTCTGTGGATTAGGTTGCTGCTCGGCACAACTTTTCCTGTGTGGACAGTAAATGTCATTAACCACTTTTCTATAAGCGGATGAATACGTGACACCGTGATAGCTACAAGGAAGCAAACTTAACAGAGGTACTCGGTTGGAGTACTGGAGCTCTGTTACACTAACCCTTACATATAAAGCTCTAAACAACTCTAGTCCATGTTATATCACTTCACTAATTTTCAGTCTCTTTATTATGCAGATGACCTTCCCCTGTCCGCTGCTCGCACCCTTACTGCTAACACACACTTGCAGGTCTTGCTCTCTCTTAAAGGGTCACATTCCACTCTCACCTCCCAGTTCTGCTAATTTTCTACCTTGTCATTTGGTTGCTATCTCCCTTGATGAGGTCATCAAAAATCTGTATTGTGTTCTTATACCTCAGGTCCTCTAGATTAGTAGCTCATTTGAGCAGGGTCCTCATCAACCTATTGTTCCTATAACATATTGTAAATGTCTAATTTATTGTTAAATGCTCCCATTATAATATTGTAAAGCACTGCACAATAAGTTGGCACTATGTAAACGCCAAAGATAATAGTTCAATTCTTGGCAGTCAACCAACTGGATTTGACACTGGTATAGAGAAAACTAGCCAGCTTACATTGAACCTGTCATGTCAGTAGCAAATATATAATTTATCAGATATATTGGTAGCTATTATACTTACCTACAAATCCTAATACTCTCTTCGGGACCAAAGTTTTTGCGTATTGTATTATAACCAAAGCCGTAGCTAGCTCCATTGGGTCCAAGGCAAGAACAGAAAATTGTGACTCCCCAATGATATTTATCTAGACAAAGATGATTCCTATCAATATATATTGATCCAGATATATTGATTGCATGACTCCTGCTTGTGGTATTGAGCTGTGAAGGTTAGGTGCTGTTTTCTGTGTGATGATAGGATTTGTAGTGTTTGTGGGGGGAGGTGTAGAAGCTGTAGCATGTATGTGGGGAAGAAGAGGCTGTAGTGTGTGTGTGTGTGTGTGTGTGTGAGGAGAGGGGCAATAGTGTTAGACAGGGACTGTAGTGTAGGAGGATGGGGCTACAGTATGGTGGGTCATGGATGAAGAGGAGACGGAGATAGTGGCTGTAGTGTGAAACAATGTAGCTGTAGTGTAAGGGTATGTGGTGCTATAGTGTAGAGTAGAGGGAGATAGTGGCTGTAGTGTGGGAGGATGGATGTGTTGTATATAGGTTAGAGGCTGTACAGTGGGACATCGGTTTACGAATTTAATGCGTTCTCCGAGACGTTTCGTATTGCGAAAAATTTGTAAACTGAAACACGGTTTCCCATAGGAATGCATTAATGCGTTCCGGAGGTGAGAAAAAAGTCAAAAGAAGTATTTTATCTGTTCTAAATTCTTTATAAAGTGCACTCTAAAGGCATAAATACTGTACAGGGACATGATTAATCAAGCAATAACATTTCAAACATCCAACTTTATGTTTTAAAACAGCTCAACATGGCAGACTGTTGGTAACATGGTACTGTACACTTCAACTGTACATAAATCACACGTCAACAGGGAAAACATGGAAAATTTCAAAACTATTTTAACACTTTTTGGAAGATGAGGAGGACAAGGGCAATTGGGCAGCACTAACACAAACTTCTTCATGTCTAGGTTGTTTTTGTAGGAACCTTTCCATTGTCTGCAGCCTCTGGCGCCTTTTAAGCATCCCTTATCTGGGTGGTGCTGCTCTACAAAAGTCTGTAGGTTTACCACATTTGGCATGCCTCCTTGAGTTCCGTGGAAGAGAGCTGTTCCTCACTCATTTCCTCCTCCCCCTCGGTCTGCTCCTCCATCGCCTCCTTCTGCAATTCCACCAGCTCCTCAGTGGTTAGGTCACGGTCGTGTTCCTCCACCAGCTCGTACACATCCTCCTCAGTCACCTCCAGGCCCATGGTCCTCCCCAAGGAAACAATTTCCTCCAACACTGTTGACTCTGGTGCAGAAGCACTGGAGGCAGGTTTCACAACACAGTCTGGCCACAGGTTGCGCCAAGCAGAATTTAGGTTTGTCTGGCTGACCCCGGCCCATGCAATGGTGATAATCTGCAGACAGCTCACAATGTCAAAATGCTCTCTCCAAAATTCATGGAGGGTGAGGCTTGAGCGATCTGTCATCTCAAAGCATCACCGGAAAAGCTCCCTTGTGTAGAGTTTTTTAAAATTGGAGATGACCTGCTGGTCCATTGGCTGGAGTAGTGGGGTGGTGTTAGGTGGAAGGAACATGACCTTGATGCAAGTCTTCCTCGAGGCCTGGAAGATGGGCAGAAGCATTGTCCATGAGCAGCATGGCCTTGAGTGGCAGGTTATTGTCCACAAGGTATTTCTTCACAGCAGGACCAAAAACCGCATTGACCCACTTCACAAACGAGGCGTGTGACCCAATCCTTTGGGTTAGACTGCCACAAAACGCTCAACTGCTCCTTGTTCACCTTGTGTTTCTTGAAGGCCTGTGCGTTCTCTGAACGGTAGACAAGCAGGGGCTTAATCTTAAGATCCCCATTGGCGTTGGCGCAGAACAGGAGGGTGAGACGGTCCTTCATCGGCTTGTGGCCAGGCAATGAGGTCTCCTTTTCTGTGATGAAGGTACACTTTGGCATCCTCTTCCAGAAGAGTCCAGTCTTGTCGCAGTTGAAGACCTGCTGAGGAAGGTAGCCCTCTGAAACTATGACCTTCAGGAACTCCGTAGCAAATTCCTCAGCTGCAGCTACAACGGAACTTGCACCCTCTCCATGCCTGACCACACTGTTGATGCCAGATCTGGTCTTGAACCTTTTGAACCACCCCCTGCTGGCCTTGAATCCTTGAAGCCTTCTGCATCTGCTGACGTTCCTGGCTATTGTTTGAGGAGGTCAGCGTGCAAGGCCTTGGCTTTTTCGCAGATGATCGCCTTGGTCACTGAGTCCCCTGTTCAATCCAGAGCAGGAGAAACTTCTTGACCTCCTCCAGAACAAGTGGATGTTGCTTGGAGACCCTGGTGACTCCCTTGGCTGCATCTCTCCCAGTTATCTTCTCTTTCATTTTTAGGATTGTACCGATTGTGGATGCACTCCTTCCATACTCTTTGGCAAGGTCAGTCAATCGCATTCCTCCTTCATGCTTCCTGATGATTTCTTTCTTGTCCTCAAGCAGAATCATCTCCTTCTTCCTCTTCCCAGCTTCCGCTGCTTTCTTGGGGGCCATGACAACACCGTCACTAAGTATGCAAAAAAAAAAATGCTTTACACCCACATGAGCTGGCATGGAAACCACAGTAAAAGGCATGCACAGCACATGAGCTGTAACAGGCATGCACAGCGCATGAGCTGGCATGGAAACCACAGTTAAAGCCATGCACAGCACATGAGCTGTAACAGGCATGCACAGCACATGAGTTGGCATGGAAAACAACCCCACATTGCAAAACACACAGTACAGTACTGTAACAGGCATGCACAGCACATGAGCTGGCATGGAAAGCAAACCCACAATGAAAAACACACAGTAACAGGCATGCACAGCATATGAGCCTACACAGGCATGCACAGCACATGAGCTGGCATGGAAAACAACCCCACAATGCAAAACACACAGTAACAGGCATGCACAGCACATGAGCTGGCATGGAAATCACCCCAATGCAGAACACACAGTAAAAGGCATGCAAACAACTAAGCTCAGCTCCCTTTTTTTCCACCTCTTGAGATGCACCAAAAAGGCTCCAAAACTTGCTGCAAATGGCTCCAAAAGGCTCCACAACTTGTTGCAAATGGCTCCAAAAGGCTCCGAAACTTGCTGCAAATAGCTCCAAAAGGCTCCACAACTTGCTGCAAATGGTTCCAAAAGGCTCCACAACTTGCTGCAAATGGTTCCAAAACTTCTCCAACACCTCCACACTCACGTGCTACCCAGACTCCAGTATGCAGAGGCGGAGCTATAAACCGGAACACTTGTTTCGCAATGCGAAAAAAAATCATAAACCAAGGCATTTTTTATTACGAATTCTCATTCGTAAACCAATTTTTTTGTTTACCGAGGCGTTTGTTCCACTGTAGTATAAAGGAGATGGGGCTATAATGTGGTAGGATAGTATAGTAAGTATAGGGGTATAGGCAGTAGTGTAGAGGGAGAGAGGAGTACTGTAGAGATGTATAAAGGACCTAGGGAGCTGGAATGTAGTGGAGGACAGGTGCTGTAAAGAATGGGACTAGGGGCTGTAGGTGTTTGTGGGGCATAATAAAAAATAAAAACTTCCCTTCCCCCCATCCTTCCCGATCATACACCTTTATTCATTTATGTATGTATATAGGGGTTTAGTGTTTGTATAGGGGACTTATTAAATTAATAATGATTTAAAAACAAATATTCATTCCCACTTCCCTGTTACCTTGCAGTGAGGGGAGAATGCTGATCTCTGGTATTCCACTGTGCCCGTCCTCTTTATCGGGGCAAGACTATGAGTAACTGTCACGTTAGCTCAGGCATTTATAATGTCAGAGCTTTCCTCTGGTAATCCACAGCTCTGATTGGTTGGAGTTCGGAAGACTTAACGTCTGCAGTCAGCGGAAGTGCAGGCCAGAGTTGCCAGACTGCCTCCTCTGCATTAAAGAGGGGAAGACTAAGTATGTCACATAATACTGTGACACACTGTTACAGGCAGACACTCTGACACACACACTCAGTTACAGGCAGACAGTCACACACGCTTAGTTACAGGCAGACAGTCACACACACACACACAATTACAGACAGACAGTCACACAGACACATACAGTTACAGGCAGACAGTCACACACAGTTACAGGCAGACAGTCATACACACTCGGTTACAGGTAGACACTCACGCACACATGCACAGGCACACACTTGGTTACAGGCAGACAGTCACACACACACACAAACAGTTGAAGTCCCACACAGTTGCAGTCGTACACACAGGCAAAGTCACACACAGAGCCAAAGGCATACAAAAAGGTACAGTTACAGTTTCAGCCACACACACAGTTACAGTCACACACACAGTTACAGTCACATACAGTTACAGGCAGACAGTCACACACAGTTACAGTCACACACACAGTTAAGGTCACACATACACGCAAACATTCACACACACTTACAGTAATACACAGGCAACCAGTCACACATAGTTACAGTCACACACATAATTACAGTCACACACAGGCAGACAGTCACATATAGTTACAGTCCCACACCCAGTTACAGTCACACACAGGCAGATAGTCACACACTGTTACAGTACACACACAGTTATATTCACACATGCAGTTACAGTCACACATAGTTACAGTCACACACACAGTTACAGTCACACACAGGCAGATAGTCACACACTTTTACAGTACACACAGTACACACAGTTATATTCACACATACAGTTACAGTCACACACAGTCACACATAGTTACAGTCACACACAGGCAGAGAGTCACACACACACACACACTACAGTCAAACACAGTCAGTTACACACAGTTACAGTCACACACAGTTATAGTCACACATTCAGGCAAACAGTTACAGTCACACACACACACACATACACACAGTCACACCCAGTTACAGTCACACACAAATAAAAAACAGATGCAACACCACAAAATAATTTGAATATAGTGGATATAGTAGGTAAGTATAAAATATACTTATCTGAGATATGTGAACAAAAGACAGCCTCTCAAGATCATGACCCAGTCTCTGACCTTTTACAATATATGTGGATATACAAAGAACATATGGGATGCGGCTGTGCCAAATCTAAATAGGAAACATAAGAAAATACATAGTGTAATACAATAAAATAAATCAATAGTGCGCCATAGTTGGAATACACTCACAAGATTGAGACGTGTAATGCGCTAAAGGGTGCCTCCCCCGATGTTGTTGGGTGGATAAAATCCTGCACTTCCCACTGATATTTCAAGCGGACCAAGTGTGGAATGAGACTCCAATAGGTGTAGGTTGGAAAAAATTATCAGCGATTTTATTATAAAAAAGAGCAATTTAACATTAGCTCAAATATATAAAATAGAGGAGCATCGGTCCTACGCATTTTGTTCCTATAAAATGGAACTTTCTCAGGGCCCAAATCCTGCTAGTATAACAATAATTGATGTGATTGATGTTTTTGTTGTTAAATTAGCAGGATTTGGGCCCTGAGGAATTTCCCCCCCACACTAGCTCACTGAGCATAGAGCACAATGACAACATGGCACAGCTCGCACACCACAAAGGCCGGTCCTGGCTGCACCCCTTTCGCAGCTGCACCTGAGGCATGTGCCTCACTCTCCTCACCCTTCCTACAGCTCTGATGATAACACCTATACTCTGTTCATGCTCCATTTTAGATGTGATTGGTCCTGCTTCAAGCTGGGCTGTACTCCTTGATGAAAACAACTTGCTGGCTTTACTGCCAGCATATCAGCATCAGAAAGTGTGTAAGGTAATATCACTGTGATGGAATGCAGGGAATTCACATTTGAAGGGTTCTCCAGCTTTTCTCAATTACTCAGTCTTGACTCAAGCCTCAACACCACCGGCATAGAGAGGTCTATTTTAAGAATTTGCTGAGAGAAGTAGGAGGGCCCATATTTTTAAAGAACTTTAACTTGAAATCTATATATTTACAAGAATTTATGCTAGCATAATGTATACAGTTGCAAGAAAAAGTATGTGAACCCTTAGGAATGATATGGATTTCTGCACAAATTGGTCATAAAATGTGATCTGATCATCATCTAAGTCACAACAATAGACAATCACAGTCTGCTTAAACTAATAACACACAAAGAATGAAATGTTGCCATGTTTTTATTGAACACACCATGTAAACATTCACAGTGCAGGTGGAAAAAGTATGTGAACCCCTAGACATCTCCAAGAGCTAATTGGAGTGAGATGTCAGCCAACTGGAGTCCAATCAATGAGATAAGATTGGAGGTGTTGATTACAGCTGCCCTGCCCTATAAAAAACACACACTAGTTCTGGGTTTGCTTTTCACAAGAAGGAAGCATTGCCTGATGTGAATGATGCCTTGCACAAAAGAGCTCTCAGAAGATTAAGAAGAAGACCTACGATTAAGAATTGTTGACTTGCATAAAGCTGGAAAGGGTTATAAAAGTATCTCCAAAAGCCTTGCTGTTCATCAGTCCACGGTAAGACAAATTGTCTATAAATGGAGAAAGTTCAGCACTGCTGCCACTCTCCCTAGGAGTGGCCATCCTGTAAAGATGACTGCAAGAGCACAGCGCAGACTGCTCAATGAGGTGAAGAAGAATCTTAGAGTGTCAGCTAAAGACTTACAAAAGTCACTGGCAAATGCTAACATCCCTGTTAGCGAATCTACAATACGTAAAACACTAAACAAGAATGGATTTCATGGGAGGATACCACAGAGGAAGCCACTGCTGTCCAAACAAAACATTGCTCCCTAAAATGGATTTAGGGGTGATTATTTCTGATGACGTAAAGGTAGGCAGACAATGTAATAGAGCAGCAGGAAATGCTAGCAGAATGCTTGGTTGTATAGGGAGAGGTATTAGC